GAGGAACCGGGGTTGGGGGGCGCCGCCGGAGGCCCAGACCCGCCGCTGCGTTGCTTACCTACGGGGTCTAGCGGGAGGGGTCTCGGGCGCGGTACCCGCTCCGCTGGCCACAGCGGAGAGCGGAAGCGCTCAGGCGGTAGAAGTCCCTGGGGGAGGGACCCGCCGGGGCCAGCGCAGCCCGTAGCCACGTTCTTAGAAGTTAGCGTGGCGTGCCGTGCGTTTATTGGGACCCGAAACAGTATCGGCGTGCCTTCGCACTCGCCTCGGAGCTGCTCCTCTCGCTTCTGTGAGTAAACAGAGATCGCACTGTGGGTTCAGGCTCCGTGCTTCACACTCTAATTTAGGATGGCTTAATTTAGAATAAACATTTCTTCATGACTTAATACCCCAGTACGTGCTTATATTCAATCTTACAAAATAGCAAGTCTGTAGCGTTTAAATCTGGAGACGCCGCTGTCCTCTTCAAGTATTTACAGCGCATCTCTCCAGCACGTATGCCTGCTGTGGACACGCACTGCGTTAGTTACACAGAGCAAGCAGCCAAGAGCGACTCTGAGACTTCGACTAGCGCAGAGACCAAGAACCCTATGCAGTATTGCTGAAGCAATAAGCAAAAAACTTGTTATGCTTGATATAAAGATAACAGTACTTAATTATATATTGATGAACTGGATGGGAAAGGCTCTGGGGGCAAGGTCTCTTCGGTCAGTTTGGGGACACTTGAAGCTTTGTCCTACTGGAATGACAGGTGAACGATGCCTCTGCATCACAAGTGCATTTGTGAACTCCATTTATAAGCTAGTAAAACTTTAAAAGAGGAAACCAAACTGCTCAATTCACCCGCGTTCCTTTGTGCACAAACCTAGTTTTCTTTCTTTAGCAATATACCTATATGGGACAACATTTTTCTTAAATAGAAACGTATCTTTTGAGAGGGCATATGTTCTTGGTGAAGTCCTTTGTCTGCCCATCCTCTGCAATACAGGAATTATTTCAGAGGAAAACAGTTCCACTTCTCTGTAGTGGAAAACAGAATTAAAACTTATCACAGCGTGTCTAACACTGTGGTTATGACTCTGAGTCAGCTATAAAGGAATTTTTATTTCCTGAATGTAAGCTGGCTATATTCACATTAAAATTTTCAGGAGAGTGAAGTACCATACCTTAAGCATGCATCTGAAATCTGACAAGCAGAGGCAAGGTAATTGTCTTGCTGTTTAATTATTAGTTTTCTGCTGGCAGTTTACAGGTTCCTCCCAGTTGCTGTGTAGGACCGTGAAATGGTAGCCCAAATTTTAACTGAACTTAAACTCCTTGGTGAGCTGCAGCTCAATGAATATATTCCAAAATAACTGATTATCATAATCTGCATACATTGTCTGCTGTTTGGTTGATTAATTCTTCATCATCATCTGGGGTATACCTGTAGAATTAATTTTATTTGAACAGCATTTTTATCCATCCTTATTAAGTGATCAGTCTTAAGTTTTTGACGACAGAATGTTCCATTTCTGGTTGGCAGAATGTGTATAAAAAATTCTCAAAGCTAAGAATATGCCTCATTTATGTAATAACTCTGAATAATGTAGTTCCTATAAATGAAAAAAACCCTAATCTTCTGAGGCTTGTACCTGAGCAGGATTTGGCTTATGACTCCGAGGAATACTGAACTTCACTGTGGAGGTTTAGTGCATAGTAAATAAGATCTAATTATTTATTCAATTAGTAGATTTAAACTAACCTTTTCGTGCAGCTGCTTCTGCTAAGTGTGGGTTACTGGGCATTCATATAGTTCCAAATACAGAAGCACTTAAGGAATGATATGACCACTAGAGAATTAGGATTTTTTATTTATTTGTTTAAGTATATGGAGTTCCAGAAAGTATACTAACAGCTCTTGAGCTTTTTAAAGTCCAGTCAGAAGTCTGAAATACTTAAATATTAAAAGTAATGGTACTTACATTAAATAGAAAGTCAAAGGAAAAAAAGGAAATTACATCACATTGTCAAATAAGGAACAGCTAGCAGGAGTGGATGACTTGTAGTGCAAAAATGTGCCCCTCCTCCTGTGAATTGCTTCTGAGATTTGTTAAAGATAAGTGGTGGCAAGGTGAGCAAAAATAGGTTGTGGATTTAAGGTAGCCACATTGTTCCCCTCCCAAAAGTGGTAAGTAGGTCTCTTTTTCTCTCCCCATTTCTTAAAAGAAGCATATAAGCTGCTTCTCAAGAGGTTTGCCTTTTTAAAATCTGTCCAAAATTTGTACAGGCATTCAAAAATCTGTATGGCAAATTGTTGTATTCCGTACCCATTAAGTGAAACATTCTAGAGTGTGGTTTGGTCTGTTGTGCATACCAGAAAGGTTTTATTATGAACCTGACTTGCCTCAAATATTTGATTGCACTGGGGCTGGTAGAGCGGGGAACAGAGTAACAAGGTTCCCTCTGTGATCAGTGATAGGTGTTGACCTAAAATATATGCAGATGTGCATCTTAGTTTCTAAATAGAAGACTACTGTTGCTGTAACACAAGTACTTAGTGATCCATATCCATATGAAAACTGTGTATTTGAGATGTCTTATGTAACTCAACTTTGCCTCACATAAGTTTTCTGATATATTCCCATATACATTCCTCACTGTGTAGATACCCTACTGTTTATGGACACATTTGACAGTTTTCAGTTTACACATATTCATCCTGTTACTTGTTGCTCATCAGTTCAAGTCTGAAAGTATATTTGGCCTTGTAAAAAAAAAAAATAATATCAATCTCATCTTCGATATTTAGGATAATACATATTTGTTAACATGAGCAGGCATGAATGATTAAAAAGTATCTTCTTTGCACATTACCTTGGATGGTGTTGATAGCTTCTTAATGCACTGCAAAAACCTTTGAATCTGCCCTGTGGTAATTACTAGCTATATTTCTAGTTTGAAGTAACTCAGTTTCTTTTGGGTAACACTGAAACTGTAACATCTTCAAAAGTGCTCAAAGTGCTTCGATCTTTCTAAGTGCCATAATCTATGCATAACTAGGCCAAACAGGCAGAGTAACCGGAAACCCATTCTGTGCAAATGAGCAAACAAGGGAGAGATCCAGAATGCTGCGTTACTGCACAGTGTCCATTTTCTTTAGCAAATGTAGTTTGATTTAAGTTATGGTTAAGTTTAAATCCATAAGTCTTTAGGGAGGCAGGATTGGGCCAACGGAGTGGAAACTGTTGTTTATATCTTCATTACTGGCCTATGTAAATGTAATTTGTTTTTAAAAGCCAATTACTAAAAAAATAGCAGCCTCATGAAATACATACTGATCAGCTTTAGTAAGATCACACTGTATAAAAATACAGTTTATACTCCTCAATTTACATGTCCTCATGTCCCCTTGTTGAGATACTGTTCCTTCAGATAAGCTAATTCATGTTTTAAGATGCAAGTACCATCTCTCTAGACTCCACTGAAAAAGTAACTAGGTGATTTAGTGAGCATATGCCTTACCTCTCTTGATACTTCTAGCTTGAGGCGTGGAGGACAGTTTTTAACTCTGTCCACTCACAAGTCTCCAGTGAAATGTCAAGGCAAGTCACCTTCTGTGAATTCACAAAGGGGTTATTGTTAGAAGCAAGCAAGTTTTATGGCTGCAAAATTTGTCTGTGCCTTATTTTTAAAAAATAAAGAGTTGATTGAATCAAGTGAAAATTATCATTTCCTAGAGTATATAAATATTTAAGTCTATTTTAGAAGTTGAGCTTAGCATTCCAGTGGTATTTCAGAGAGGCAATTGTGCAACTATCTGTCTTGAGAGCTGAGATTTAGACAGCATTCAGAAAGCTGACATAGTAAGTACTAGCAGTGGTTTTGGCGTGGGATCTGATGGAGGTTGGGCTTCTTAACAAGCCCTACAAGGGTTGTATGTTATCACAGCAAGCACATTACATGTGCTCTCAAACTAGAGCCATGCCACCCCCTGCTTTCTGTCTCATTTTTTAATATCATAATCAATGTCTTGCTCATGGTCTTGTCAGATCTTGTATGCATGTTGAGGTGGAGTACTATCATTTGCTGACTAATCAGTGTTCTGTATCAGTGATTTTTCAACTCATGACTTGCATTGACTTCAGAAAATACTGAAATGGAAGAGCGAACTCCTTCATAGGTTTTAGCTTACGTTCACTAATTCACTGTCCTTCATTTCTTTTGCTGATTCATTGATAATAGGATAGGATCTGTGAGGCACAAAAAGAATCACTGCTCAATACGGTGTGAATTGATGTGATGGATTTTGTGAACTGTGTTAACAGAAAGTAATTTTAGAATTGGTGCTATACTTGTACTGTGCTGCTTAAGTCTTTTTGAAAATGGATTTCTCCAGTCTTCTGCTCCTGGCTAGACAATGGCTCTGCTCTCACTTACAGAACTAGAAGGAAGAACTTTACAGGACTACTAGAGATTTTCAAGTCATTTGCTCATCAGAGCTATGTTACTGCTTCCTGGGGCTGTATGTTTATCTTCAAATTCACTATGAAAATTTCCAGGTTTCATTACTGGGAAGGGTCCAGCTTGACTGTGTGAGGCAAAAATTTTCAGGGTTAAAGTAGCTTTTAAGGACATTGTCTGAAAAGGAAGAATATAGTCTTCACTAAAATAAGGAGGGCTAAATTAAGTAGGATAAAGACTTAATGCTCTGCTGCAGCAGACAGAACACTGGTTTGGACCTTGTTTACTTCTATTAAAGCTAATAGTCTCCTGTCTAGAGTTCTTCTGAAATGCCTGGCTAAAATACACTGGGTATCTGGTAGTGAATAAAAAAAAAAAAAAATCCCACTTCTGTTGACATACGAGTGATCACTGGTAGTTGACGACCATCACACTCTAAGAGAATGTGGTTAGGTCTCACACATTATAAACATACATACATTTTGCATATATTGTTTGTTTGGATAATCGATACTGGACCCAGTTCAAATTTGGAAAAGCATAGCAGAGTTGTTCTTTCTCAAACAATTGCTTATAAAAGGCAAATAGTGGTGTTAGATTGCAAATTAATCCTGGGGCACCTGGCTTGATTCTTAAGGGAGATACAAATTAAACTGGTTTGGGTGGGTTTGGTTTTGGTTTGTTTTGGGGTTTGTTTTTTTAAGTTCTGGGGTTTTTGGTGGGGTATTTTGGTTGTGATTATTTTTTTTTTTTAACAGCCTTGTTCACCATATTGTACTTGCTGAATTTAGGTTATTTGTGTAGATGAAGCACTGACCAAGAGAAAATCTTTGCTCACAGTCTTGGACTTAATTTTTCCTGCCTTCAGAATGTTGACTACTTTTACACTGTTGCTCCCCCCCCCCTCCCCCCAATAATCCATTTTGAATTTCCTAAACAAAACCCTGTCAGTCAACTTGTTCCTTAGACTATTTTGAATCACTATATTTCCAGTTTGTTTGAAATAACCAGAAGACTTAGACTTGTTTAAAGTATCACAGTGCTTTAAGTTTGTTAATAATAGCGACTGTTTTATATAAAAGAAGTTTTGGAATTCTTATTTAAGTAGTCAGTAATTCTGTTTATTGGTGCAAAGGCTATTGAAGGTAATACTTAAAACCAGACTAAGCTGATACACATTGGCTACGCTGGAAACCATAAACTCATTACCAAAAAGATACAACTAAAGATAGATGCTTACTAGAAACTTAGAGATTGTTCTGGAAAACTTATTTTGCCTGAATAAGTAGCAGTTTATGTACAAGAATTTAAGTTGTTGATGTACAGTTGCTATCAATAGCTTTACTGAACATATTTTACTTTTTTCTATCCAGTTTAATTCTGTTAGAGAACTTCCCTATTTTGTACTTCAGTTTTTCCAGACACAAACATAAGTTAGGTAAAATTTTCCTCTTGGACATAAGGCCCTTTCTACAGAGCTGTTTAATTCCTTGAAATACTGACATTTCAGGTGAGAGATGAACTCTTCAGGTTTGCATTTCTGATATTTATGTCCTTCTCTCTTTTGAAGGGAATGAAAACTGCAGGAAACCTGTCAAGGACTGAATTTCTAGGGTCGTGAGACATAACCAGAGAGCAGTGTGCAATGTCAACTGCAGGAGTTGCTGCTCAGGAGATGAGAGTCCCGTTAAAAACTGGATTTCTTCACACTAGTCAAGCCATGGGGAGTCTGAAAACCTGCTGGGGTAGCCACAGTGGATTTGAAAAGTGAGTGAGGCTAAAATTTGATCTATTGCATCTTGAAGTATGAGATGAGCATTAAGAATACTTGTACCAGTACCAACCTATGGTTTATTTACAGCTAAGGCTTTTTTTTTTTTTTAGTACTTTCTTTAATGTGGACCCTATAGCAGTGGCATATAATTTGAATCCCTCAACAGAGCAACATTTGCCATCCATTGGTAAGTACAAAGACTAACACACATGTATTTAGGTAGTGAAAAAAAAATTCTTAAGTCTTCACTAAGGCAGTAAATGTTTTCTTCATTCTGGATATAAGGCTGCCCTCTGGTGACAGAATGGAAACATTTCAAGAAAATACTACTATTCAAGCCAATAGAAAAACCCCTTGCACTTTAAATAACATGATCAAGTTAAAACAAACAAAAAACCTTTCCCTGTACTTAAAGGTCTCTGAGCTGCCATTACACTTCTGACAAACCATTTAGTAAAAGAGCACTTGTTCTGTTGTAGCCCTTTGCTGGGAACTTTGTAGCTGTAGCTCTGTTCTGTTGCTTATGCTTCAGGTCTCTTAACTACCTCATTAAACTGGAGCACTGGCCTAAACCAGCAAGATAATCAGCTGCTCTATTAACTAAACACATAAATCCATGAGCAGAAAAGATCTAGAACATCTATGTTTTGCTGCTGGAGTCATTAAGCAGATATTACTTATTGTTGCATTAGAAAGAATGAAATAGTTAAACCTGCAGTGGCAAAGTCATGCACTAGAGCGTTACTTAGAAAAGCATTTAAGACTTTCTCATCTTTTTAGGGCATGCTTCCATGAATGACCACAGCTTTGCTGAAAGTTGCATCCAAGTCCCATCTCACAAATCCAGCCCACCTCCTGTAAGTCCCCAAAATGAACAGCTGATTTCAAGATATGAAGACCATCTTGTTCCTGGCTTTAGTAAACTCTCACTAACCATGGGCTGTGTTTCTGAAGAAACACCTTCTCACATGCCAATAAAAAGCGGGCCAATTCAGTTTCTGTCTGCATCTTCCAATGACCGTAGCTCCAGGCCACTACCCCCTCTGCCTGTTTCTGAAGACCTTTCTCCAGATGAGGTTGACAAAGAGGTGGAATTCCTGACTAGCTCAGATACTGACTTTTTGTTAGAAGATTATGAACTTCCTCCTTTTAAATCCAGTGCTCCAAGCCGGCGGAGCTTTAGGGGCTGTGGACAAATCAACTATGCATACTTTGATACTCCAACAGGACCAAAACCAGAAGATGCCAACCCTACACAGAGCCTAAGTGGATACATATCCAGTATTTGTCCTCCTCCACAGCAGCTGCATCGACGCTTGCGAAGGTCCCATTCTGGGCCAGCCGGATCTCTTAATAAACCAGTAGTAAGACTATCTGGACACTTAAGCAGGTCTTCTCCAAACTCTGATGAAGATAAACCAGAGATTCCACCAAGGGTTCCCATACCTCCAAGGGCTCTTAAGCCAGATTACAGAAGGTGGTCAGCAGAAGTCGCTTCTAGTGCATACAGTGATGAAGACAGGCCTCCGAAAGTGCCTCCGAGAGAACCTTTGTCACGCAGCAATTCCCGTACGCCAAGTCCCAAAAGCCTGCCATCATACCTCAATGGGGTCATGCCCCCCACACAGAGTTTTGCGCCTGATCCTAAGTATGTCAGCAGCAAAGCTCTACAAAGACAAAATAGTGAAGGATCTTCCAACAGGGTTCCTTGCATTCTTCCAATTATTGAAAATGGTAAGAAAGCCAGTTCAACGCATTACTATCTGCTGCCTGAAAGGCCTCCATATTTGGACAAATATGAGAAATTCTTCAGAGAAGCAGAAGAAAGTAGCTCTAGCACAGAGGTTCAGTCCTGGTCTGGTGACTGCACAGCCACTTCAGCCCCAGCAAAATTGGACACAAAACCTAGAGTGGACATAGCTGGTCATCTGAAACGAAAACACCTGTCTTATGTGGTTTCCCCATAGGCTCTGGGAGCACAGTCTCGGCTCTGTTGTTCAGGATGGAGATGAACTTTATCATGTTACAAAGTTCTTGAGGTTCTCAGATAATGAAGTAGGACCAGTTTGTCCTCTGAGAACTGGAAAGTGGATTGTGAAGTCCTCTTATGCTGCGTATCTCTGATATGTTTAAGACTGTTTTTTGTCTTGGTATGTATAGCTGAAAACCTACAAAGATTCCATAGAAACATACAGAGGGATAGTAGTCACAGTTGGCCAGTTATATGCTACCTAGATGAACATATTTGGTAGTCACGTTATCAAAAAAAAATAAAGTCAGTCTAGCTTTGCTTATGAGTCACTTCTAAAGCTGACAACAGAGCAGATAATGCAGTACAGTTTTTGTATCAGGCATTTCCAGAATTTCTTTCACACAGTTAACACTGCTGAAGACTGTCCTCTTTGACTAGGTTCTGCCAACCTGGTAAGAAGGTAACTGCAAGATCTGATACCCACTTCAAGACTTGGCAGGCATATTGGAAGTGCTTTTGGAAAAATGAATCTATTTTACAACTTAATTTGACACTAACAGACTCTTAAAGTGAGTTAGCTTTTGTGAATTCTTTCAGTTGCTAGACACACTTGGCTCAGTTTTGCAGTTTTTCCTAGGAGAGACTTGGACCAGCTCTTGCTAAGCCTCTGCTGCTGCTCTGTTGCTGTTGGATCCTAGAAACGTGTGAAAGTGTCCTGGAAGTGGCAGAGGATATGAGCAGCTCTGCAGTTGCTGTTAGGTAGGCAGTGACAATTACCTGCTCACCTAGAGTCTAAAATTCTGACTGTATTAAATACAGAAACACAGCACAAGCTGGTCTTGTGGTTTGGTTTCTGTTCAGTATTTTAGGAGAGGAGGAGGTTATGAGGAAAAAAATGATTCCATTTATGAACAGTGTCAGTCCCATCTCTCGTTGCTTCAGATGCTGCTTCTTGCTGTTTATAATTTTTCCTCATTGTGCCTCAGTGATCCGCTAAAGTTCACTGAGGTGCCACATTTGTGCATTAGCAGTTTCTCATGCTGATTTTGATTACAATTATCCTCTTGCAGATAAGCACAAGAGAAAGGGTGCTCATTAATGGAGGTACAGAAGATGAATGTGCTCCTCCTAACAGAAATAAACAAGCTGTTTACAGTTTAAACTGCTGAATGATATGTTTGAGCTATTTTAAAGCTTACTTTTTATTTGTTCTAGTACAAACTAAATGAAGGTGAAATACATGCTATAGAAATGCACTGATATTTCTGCATCGTGTACAGTATTGAATAAAAAATAATTCACTTTGTATTTTGAATATTGTCATGTCTTGAGTTTAATAAAGTTATGACATACTTATTTATGATACATTTTGTTTTTGCTTTATTGAATAGTGTATGCAGTTGTGCATTTGAGTTCTGCATTTACTGGAAAGTTCAAAGTGAATAATGTTAAATGTGCAGCAAATGTTGAATTCAGCTTGCATTTAATTAAAAATCAAGACTTCTGCAGAAGTATTCAATGTGCAACAATGCACACCATTAATTTTAATACCTCCTTACTACCTGGTAGCATAGTGTCTATAGTTTTGTGCTGACAATAAAACATTCTATCATCATTAATAACCTCTGTTATTTCTAGTCACCCATAGCACGTTAGGCACCATCAGACAGAAAAGAGGGCAGTAGTGTTTCATCTTCAATTTCTCACCTGTTAAAGAATTGAAGTGAACATTAAGGGTGACTGAAGAGGAGCTACTTTTATTCTGAGGATGAAAAGCTGGAGCAGAGCATGGTAATTAAGAGGAGAAAGAAATTGCAAATACTCATCACAAGGCAAGCATGTTTAACTGTAGCATGTGAGCCATGGATGAGGTTACTGAAGATATGAAGCATTACACTACTTTAATCTTTTAGCTATGTATGCAGATAAATAATTGCCTTGATCTGGCAGTCTTAAGTCTTCACATTTTCTGTGAATGAGCAGGTTTACCATCCTTGGAATTATGCTCAATGGAAAGAATATGAGATGTAGTTTTTCAGTAATGCCTAATTACTTGGCCTTTATAGCTGGGGAGATTGCTAAGCTTCATTTATGTAGGTGCTTAAAAACCTACTGCTGTGCCATAACACTGCTAAGAACCCACGCAGATTGGCCTCCAGAACATAAAGAAGTTATCTAATCCTGCACAATCCTGTACTGAAAGTTCTGCTTCCCCCCAACCCCTAGATTTTTTCTAAAGTGGAAAAAGTCAAATTGGTACTTGCAACCTTCCCCTTATATCTGAGCAGCTTTAACTGTAGGACCCCCAGTTACACAATCTGCTGCAACAAACAGATCAGTGCTGTTAAGCTGCAGCTCGTTCCTTGTCAATGGTGAGACCTAGTGCAGACTCAGTAGTTGCTATTTCAGTAGAACTCAGAACCCAAGCAACTGCCCTGTATAGCTCTTCCTTGTTTTGCCTCTGGGTCCTACTCTGTTCTTGATACTTGGAACCCCCCTTTTCAGCCTAGGTTCCTGTGCTTGAAGCACTTGAATTCCCGAAGGCCTCAGTTCTGCCCTTAATAGCATTTACTCAATAGCAAAGCTGCTCTTGAATGGGAAAAATAAAAAAGCTTCCCCATCCCGATACCTCTTAGTAAACATCTTCCCTGCCTTCAGTGGAATTGTTTTGGCTTAAAGCATCTGGGGAAAAGCTACATAGCTAGTGTATACACTGAGAAATGAACCCCCTGATGGGGAGGCCAGCCTGGGCACTCTGATACCGGAGGTGTAAGGGACTGCATTTGGATGAAGTAAAACTTGAGTCTGAGCCATTGCATTTGTCAGGTCTCATTCGCCATTCGCTTTGTGAATGCAGTGATGGGAGAAGCTTTCTGTCCTAACTCAGCACTTCACACTGGCCTGATGCTAAGGCTTAGTATTTGCACAAGGCAAGCCAAAGAGACTTCTGAAGTGACAAACAGCTGAACATGTCTTCGGTATAAAATGTTAAATTTCCCCAGCCCCACAACCCTGCACTTACTTTCACTTCTCTCAGCAGTGGAAGTTCCCTAGTCACTGGGCTAAAATCTTTTCTGCTAATGCAGCAGCAAGACATTTTCTACTTCCTCAGAATAAGTTATGAGACTAGTTTTGCACTCAGATTTCAGTGCTAAAAAGCTTAAAGACTTTATAAAACCTGTGCTTTTGAATGGTCTTGTATAACCTTTTCTAAAATTCCAGAAAAGTGTAAGACACTTAACCTAACCTCCATTATAGTTTTTATCTGAGAAAAAAGTTAATTGTACACTCGTTTCCTGAAAGTACTGGTATTGTCTACTCAAGTCCCGAGTATTAATAAATTACTCTGTAGTGATGCTATCTTTCCCACTGTGTGTCAGCTGAATAACAGCATTGTGTTAAGTCTCATTTCAGAAGTTAAATGATGAACATAAGCTTAGTGCAACCATAATTGAAGTAAACCAGACTAAACCTGAATTGAAAATAGTGACTGGGACTGCTTGGTTACGAGCAAGACATTCAAGCAGGTTACAGCTCACGTGTCTCTTCAGTATGAAGAAAGTAATTTAGAGGCAAGTCTTACAGTATTTAAGTAGCTTGGCCATTTTCCCTTCAAAAATCCGAAGTGAAAGGATTTCATGGAGGACTTGGTCCATGGTTCAGTGGTTCCCTCTGGGTGATGGTGAGGGGATCACTGACAAAGGCAGGTGGAAGACTTGTTTGCATATTCTTAGACACCAGATTCCTGTGCTTTGGGGGACAAAGTTTGCATGATCCAAAAATTGTATTCCATTTTCCAAGTGAGTAATTAAGGCTGTAGAGCTGTGGGGGAAGCTTTGTGAGTTCTGGCCAAAAGATTTTCTCTGCTCATCCCCTGGCACGTGATAAGACTTGTCAGGACACAACATGCTTTTGCAACAACCTGATCACTTTTGAATATTCAGAGCCTGGGCTCACCTGGGCAAGGCCTGACAGCTTGCCTCTGAGGAGGAAGCCCCTTGCCAAACAGATTTGACTGGAATAATCACACTTCAAAGCAGTTATGCCTTGATACACTAAAGTCTGAAGAGTTAAGGAATTTGTGTTAAAGCAGGGAAGAAAGGTGTGCGTCTAAAGAAAGGCAATACATACAGCAATACATACATAAAGGCAATAAATACAAGCATACAGCTCCCCATTCAAGAAGGGGGCTACACATACTGCTTATAACCGCCCCCAGCAGTCTCCTCCTTGCCTCAGTAGTGCTGCTGTGCCCACCCAGCCACCTCAGTGAGGACCCACAGGTCCCAGGAGGCAGCTGTGCTGGGGCAGAGGGAGTTGCACTGCACAACCCCCCAGAGGGCTGGATCCAGAGCAGCCCTGCGCTGATCCCCTGATCATTGAGCAGACCTCAGTGAGATGTGGCTGGCAGCAAAATTCACGAGATGGGCGGGGGTTGACCTCTCCCCCAGGCTCAAAACTCTTGATAGCACACTCTAGGTAACCAGTGGCAGCAAGAAGCATCTGTCATATCAACCCTGTGTAAGGGTCAGTGTTGCCTAGGGTGGCTTAGCTGCTCTGAACACCCCTCACTTGGTGAGTTTCAGACTATCAAATCAACACAGAGGACCTGAGTCTGGCTGGTAACTGAAGGATAGGATGTTCGCCTCAATATACCTTCTTCTGAAAGGAGGAGGCTGTGTTAGTACCTGGTGACTTGAAAAAAACCATTAGCTTAACTTGTCCACCATGTTACCTTGCTCTTAAACAGATAATGTCAGGATATAACACACAGCTGTAGTGGGAGGTCATTTTAAAACCTCTCAATTGTCAGTTTCTCTTGCATCATAAGAGATAAATCAAAACAGAAAATAAACCTGATTTGGAAGCATGCTGATTGACATCATAATTAAATTCTGCAGTCATTTAAAATTACTGATCATTGTTGCTGCTGTCACTATTAGTTTTCCATTCACTCCTAGATTCCAATAGGGACAACTGCTACTGTACTCAAACTGCAAAAGAGCTCTCACTGAGATTGCATTTCCTCCTGCTCCAGCCTTGGTTTTGTTTTTAAACAGTCTGAGTGAAGTGGTAGGTTTGACATGATAAAGGAAAGCATCCATCTAAGTCTGGGACAAAGATACCAATTTTGCAAGGGCAGTTATTACAGTAGGGAGTAGTTGCTGATGGTGTTCAAACCGAGTCTTGTCAGGAATTCAGGGTTAAGATGATGACCAGATCAGTCATGGTGGAATTCCCACCCTTCAAATTCATGATTACAGACTGTGGCCCTTATAAACACTTTTAATAGTATTACAAGCTGTATGTTAAATACATACTCTCTAGATTACTGTCAAGAAGGAAATTTGAGATGGAGGTAACAAGATGCATCATTTTAGCTGCTTGGAGGGTCTCTGCAGTCAGGTAATCTACTGATTTTTTTTTCTTTTTTTGCATATGTATGTGTTGAGTGTTCCTGAGGTAAACTTTCTATTTATTTATTTATTTTAAATAGCCCAACCTTTTATTTTCTTGATAGCTTGTTTTCCAAAGCAGGTTATATTCATTTTAAACTGAAAACATACAGAAAATTTTTTGTTTCTCATGGCTCCTTGGCACTGAAAGTCTAGCACACTAATTATACTTATTAATATTTGTTAAATAGCACTGCAGAGATTTCTGGTTGCTGAGTTTGTGATTAACATTTGTAAGCTGAAAGAGGTGTTATCCCCACCCATCCTGCATTGTAATTCAGGCCTTGCATAATCCCCGCCCAAATGCCTATTTTCATCCACACATCATTATTTTTTCTGAATCATGTATGGAAGCCACACCCGTGATTGCTCATAGACTGTTGCTATATTATTTATATATTGGTGTGCACCTTGATCCCAGTTGCGGTTAATTTTGAAAAAGGTGTTAGCTATTCCAAATTTTAAGTGGCATGCCCCTGAAACATGGGAACCATTACTGTGTTCATTTCCTTACAAAGTGATTCAGAGGAAGAGATGCTTCTATGTGTAAAACCTGCAGCTTCTTGCTGAAGATTACAACCATCACCCACAAATTGTTAGCATGTGAAAGCCACAAAGTAATAGTGCAAATATACTGCCATGAAACACCAGAGAAAAAAACATGCCAGATTATCCCATCATCACCACCCTGAATCTCCTCGAGGATGCTAACCACTGCACATTGAGCCTTTGTGACAAAATACTAAGAGGCCCTCCACACACAAAGTCTCTGGACCAAGCATAGGATCATCAGGCCTGGCCCAGGAGGATGATCTCCTGCTCACCATGTACCCAGGTGACAGAGGCATGATCCTGTTACACAAAATATTTATTTTACCTTTATTAAGGTGTTTATTATGCTCACAACAACT